CTATTCAACATTATAAAGTTAAGTCTAAAGATCTTAAAAATGATGCCTCACAGCTTTTATTATATCTTACTGAGAAGTGTTCAGAAGAGTCAGGTTGGAGTGTTGAATTTGAGTTAGATAGCGATAACCGCCTTACCTGGATTTTCTGGATGACTCCTGAACAGATATCCCTTTGGCTGGAATATCATGATGTCATTTTAAATGATAATACATCTAAGACGAATCGATATCAGATACCTTTGAGTTTGTTTCTTGCTGTCAATAATAATACGAGATCTCGTTTGGTTGCACAAATATTAGTTTCTGATAAAACTGTTGACTCATACCTATAGATTCTCCAGTATACTATGAAAGCTACAGGTGTTGAGCCTATGGTCTTTGTGACAGATGCAGATCCAATGATGGACAGTGCATTAAAACAAGTGTATGAAAATACTTATTCATTATATTGTATTTTTCATATCAGCCAAAACCTTCCAAAGAATTTGAAGGGAATGTTAGGTAATACGTATGATCAATTTGTCAAAGATTTTTACCTCTGCCGTAACACTTTGGATAAGATGCTATTTGAGTCTAGATGGAAAATTTTATTAGAAAAGTTTCTATCTGCTTCAAGTTACCTGAATCGGACTCTTTACCCTAGTCATTACTCATGGGCTTGTGCCTTCACATCCAAAGTTTTTATAGCAGGAATTCAAACTACATCACGTGTTGATGGATATGTTGTAAATTAATACGTTATAATTTGATTTGGTTAGGGTTAGAATTAGATTTATGATTATTGTTGGGTTAGGTTTATGGGTTAGGTTTTGGGTTAGATATATGTGTATAAATTGGGTTAGGATAATTTAAGATCGTGTCAGATATTAGTTGAGATCAACTTGTCTGAGATTCATTTTGTGTCTTAATTTATGATTTAGATTGCTGCATTTTCACTCTAGAATGTCGACTAATATCTGATATGTTATACTAAATTCTATTCATACTATAGATATAACAATATTATCAAAAGAGTATTACATAGTAATGGTGGTTTATGTAATTTGGTGAAGACTTTGGATTCACAATTAGAAAAAAAGGCTGAGTGGAACTATTTTTTTGAGTATCAGACTCTGTCATCATGTGTTGGGATTGTATCTGTTAGTAGTAAAATATTGCCTACTATTGACCATATACTCTTAGAATACTTGACCCCACAAATTCTTTCTATTGAGTGTATTAAAATAGCACAGTGTTTATACTTCGATGTGATATTAGTTGACTTAACAGTAATTGGATTGGATGACAAGAATGAGAATATAAGTGATCGATTTACAGAAGATGTTTATGATACGAAGCAGATTTTACTTAAATCAATGATATCAAAAATGGATCAAATTAATATTAAAGAGATCTGGCAAATCACTAATAAATGACCTGGAAACAGTCAAAGAAAACACTTCGTTATTGTTCTTGATTCTATTTCTTATATGTGTACATGTATATCAAATATATCCTGTGGTATTCTATGTAGACATTACTTTCAAGTAATGTTGGTGTTACAAATTTCTGGATTTAATATTAGAATGGTGGCATCGCATTGGTATTGTAATAGCAAGAAAAAGGAAATTGATCAAGAAAATGTGATTTTTGCAAATTCGGATGCTAGTGAAGCTCAACAAGGTCAAAAAATACCTTTGATTTCTCAACCTTTTACAGTTTTCCGTTCAATAGCAATAAGCAACCGAAGTGCAGCAGCCAGGCGTTCTAAATTTGGTAAAATTTGGGGTCTTGCACAGCAAGCTATACAATTGGCTGTAGAATGTGATGATAATAATATGAAACTATGGTTGAAATGCTTTATTAATCAAAAGAAGCATCTTTTAATACAAAATGAAGAGCTTAAACATAGTGATGACAGCAAAGATAGTGAAAAGGAAAATAATTCTGCAATCAAAAATCTAGCGATTACCAAGCATATGAGCAGGCCTGTGACCAAAAGGTTCAAGGCTGCAACAGAAAAGCCTCATCATCAGCCATATACATATCGAAGCTGTGATAAGACTGGGCACAATAGTGCGAGATGTCAAAAGAAAGTTGGTTAATTTGATATTGGTGGGTTATTTGGAGGTTTGTCGATTATTATTTGATATATTATTTGATGTGCGGTTGTTGTTTGATGTGCAATTGTTATTTGATAATTATTGATATGCAA